AAGAGGCAAAGTCTGAACTTCCTTGCCTTGAACCTGGCAGGACCCTTGTAAACCAACAGAATATAGCAGAAGTGAGACACAAAAAGCACTGAGGCTTCTGCCTAGGTCTCTTGGACACTCTTTCTAGAAAGAGCCAGCTGTTATGCATGAAGACACTCAAGCAGCTCTGGAGACCCACTTGGACAAGAACTGAGACCCCCAGCTCCAGCCAGCACCACCTTGTCAGCCATATGAGTGAGTGAGCCAGATTGGAAGTGGATCTTCTAGCCCGGTCCAGACTTCAAATGACAGTAGCCCAGCTGACATAAAACTGCAACTGCCTGAGAGACCTGAAGCAAGGACAGTGCAGCTGACCCTTTCCCAAATTCCTGACCAACAAGTACTAACAGAGACAGGTGATTATTGTGACTTTACACCATACAGTTTTGGGGAGATTTGTTAGATAGCATTAGATAGCTAATACACTAGTAGGGGGCAATTTTTATCAAGGATACAATAACAGGGGAAGTGGCAGGTGCAATGGCTAAGGAGGTGGCTATGCCAATGCAGGATGGCCCAGCCTGTCCTGGCTATAAACTGATCACTGTCTGGCTTCCTCTTTCCAGCTAGGAGGGCCTCCAGAGCTCCCTTCATTTCCATCTGTTCCCCAGCCTAACCTCCCATCAATTTTGTGGGTTCTTCTAACTGTCATTATCCTAATATTCCAATAAACCCTGCTTAATTGATCCAGATTCTACATAAACAATCCAGAGTTGGTATCCATTGCTCACAACCAAGAATCTTAACTGATACAGGGAGTTACCACAGTTCATTACTGGCCAAGGTTGAGGAATGGTGGAAAAAAGGCAAAGCAATGAAGAGGAGATACTAGTATGATAATAGAGTCAAACCAAGTACGTATAGATTAGCAAAAATGGAATATACAGAAATGAAATTCAATACTAACAACATCAAATACAGAACACTTGTTAAGTGCCACACGCTATTTGCAGCACTTCCTAGAATCCTTACAGCAAAACTCTAAGGTAAGCAGTAAATGATCATTCTTTTTTGCAGAGGAGAAAGCAGAAACACAGAGAGTAACTCTGCCAGACCTCAGGCAGACTCCAGGGTACCTGCTCCTTGCCACTACACTCCTGTCTAGAGGTTTCAGGACACTAAGAAAAGGAAGGGCTTCATGGCACTGCCCTGTTTGGCTCTCGAAAATAATCAGCAGTTTAATCCAAAGACTTTGGTCTAGAACAGTGTTCAATAAACACTAGCTGATCAAATAACCATTTGTTGAACTGAATGACTTTCTGTTACCTTCCTCTAATGGCAAGGGCATATCATACTGGAAAACTGGGAGTCCACATTTATTGAGAAGACCAAATTCATAGGATTGGGAGTACAGACACGTAACCACGGTGGCCACCCCACAGGATCTTGCTAGGTATGAGGGTCAATTTAGCTGAGCCCAAACTTTCTCCATTCTCAGAAGTCTGGGATCATTTCTCCCCACACTTTTCAGGCTCCCCTCTTCCATTAGGTCCTTATACTAAGGCCTCACCGCTTGTTACCTGTGCCAAGTTTAGCAAAGACCTGCATGGACTCATCAAAACGCTTCTGGCAGAAGAGATTGAAGGCATACAAGTTCTTGATGTGATGAATTTGTTGCTGCTTTTCACTGTCGGAATCATCTTTCATTTCCTATTAACACAGTAGAATAGGTAAGAGGTCCCACATTTAACAAGTATTTGTTCAGTATGTTCTTGATGTTAGAGAAGTAGCTAGGAGCTACAGACACCAAAGTGTACAGGACAGCCACATGGTATCCACCTTGCAGACTGCCTTTACAGTCTACCTGTAAGACTGCTAAGTAACTAAACAATTAAAACACAATAGAGTTTCTACGAGATGCCTAACCGGTTCCCTGAAAATTGTCATGGTCATTAAAAACAAGAAAAGATAAAATGTCACAGACCAGAGGACACTAAGAACACATGACAACGAAATGCAACCTGATTTCTGGATTTGATTCTGGAACAGAAAAAAGGACAATAATAGAAAAACTGGCCAAATCTAAATAGTCTAGAGTTTAAAAATAAAAAATCATGTGGGAAGGGTCCCCAATCCAGTCTGAGTCGGGGAGTCCAGGATGGACTCCAAGAGGGACCCAAACTGAGACATAAAGGATGAGCTGGATCGGGCATGGTGGCTCACGCCTGTAGTCCCAGCACTTTGGAAGACCGATGCGAGCAGATCACATGAGGTCAGGAGATCGAGACCAGCCTGGCCAGCATTGTGAAACCCTGTCTCTACTAAAAATACAAAAACTAGCGAGGCATGGTGGCACAAGCCTGTATGTAATCCCAGCTACTTTAGAGGCCAAGGAAGGAGAATTGCTGGAACCTGGGAGGCGGAGGTTGCAGTGAGCCGAGATCACGCCACTCAATTCCAGCATGGGTGATAAAGACCGAAACTCCGTTTCAAAAAAAAAAGATGAGTTGGAGTTAGCTAAGCGCGGCTGGGCAGGTGACAGGGAGGGGAAGAGCAGCATGTAGTCCCTGGCAAGGGAGACAGCACATGTGCAAAGCCCTAAGACGGCAGAGGGAGCACAGTGTACTCAAGGAATGAAAGACATCTGGCATAGCTGGCACAGTTGGGAAAGGTCTATTCTCAGTAAAAGCTAAATAAATGGAGCTGCTATCAGCTTTGTCTCTTCCTCATAACCTATTTTCCCCTTATACCTCTTTACCCAATCTTTACAAAATCTAGATTTTCTTTCAAAATGTCTCTCAATTTCCCTCCTTCTTTTCTTTTCCTATTGCCACCACCCTAGTCCAAGCCATCAACATGTGGCTGTCCCTGGTCTCAGCTCTCCTGCTTGGTGCTTCAAAGGCTTCCAAAACCTGGTGCCAGCCTCCTCATCTAGCTAAGTCCCAAACACTTAGGCCACACCTTCTCCAATTAGGACAGGCTCCAAATGTGATAGACATCGGCCACATTTTTCGCTTCCTTCACTTCCTCTCCATCTGTATGCTCCATTTCCTGCTCTTGATCCTAATCTAGCCTATTCTTAAAGGGTCAACTCAAGTGTCCAACCTTAGGCTGCCTTTTGCAGCCCACAGTGAACTGTCCCTCTCTGACACTTGACTCCAGGACTTATTAATGCTAAAGTTTAGTATGTAATTTCCCTCTGAAAGTTCCATGTATGTTTGCTTTTCTATTTAAATAAAAGGTTACAGCTGGGTGTGGTGGTTCACACCTGTAATCCCAGCACTTTGGGAGGCTGAGGCAGGCGGATGACCTGAGGTGAGGAGTTCAAGACCAGCCTGGCCAACATGGTTAACCCCGTCTCTACTAAAAATAAAAAATTAGCTGAGTGTGATGGCATGCACCTGTAGTCCCAGCTACTCAGGAGGCTGAGGCAGGAAGATCACTTGAACACGGGAGGCGGAGGTTGCAGTGAGCCAAGATCATGCCACTGCACTCCAGCCTGGGTGACAGAGTGAGACTCCGTCGCAAAAAAAAAAAAAAAAAAAGAGATAGCTTCCTCCCGGACTAAGATGATGTCAATCAACCTTTCTGGGTCATAAAAACGGCAGAGCACAAAATAAGTATGATCCTAGAAAAGAGAAGAAAAAATGGGAGCCCACTTCCATTTTCTTTACCTGAGATTAAAGCACTAGGAAGATCACTGAAAAGAGAGACCTTCCTGCTAAGAGAAATAGACTAAGGAGTTTCATACCGCATAACCTTTTTATAAAGTTCAAAAACTAAATACATTACTTCTATATATTAAATACATGTAAAAAATTAAACATATATGTTTAATCATTAAATATCTATATTTTTCTTTTTTCCCCTTGATCCTAGGACTTTATTACATATTTCAAATATATATTAAACAATATATATTAAACATATTTATATATTAAATATATATGTAAGAGTAAGGTCATGATAAATACAAAATTTAGGATAATGATTACATCTGGAGGAGAGGCAGAGGGATGGGATTGGAGGGACTATAACAAGGTATAAAAGATACGGCTCTTGGGTAGGATGGTAAGTACATGGGTATTCATTTGTCTCTGATTGGTTTCTGGTGATATAATTTCTTTTTTTTTTTTTTTGAGACGGAGTTTCGCTCTTATTACCCAGGCTGGAGTGCAATGGCGCGATCTCGGCTCACCGCAACCTCTGCCTCCTGGGTTCAGGCAATTCTCCTGCCTCAGTCTCCTGAGTAGCTGGGACTACAGGCACGCGCCACCATGCCCAGCTAATTTTTTGTAGTTTTAGTAGAGACGGGGTTTCACCATGTTGACCAGGATGGTCTTGATCTCTTGACCTCGTGATCCACCCGCCTCGGCCTCCCAAAGTGCTGGGATTACAGGCTTGAGCCACCGCGCCCAGCCCATTGTATTATTTTTTAAAATGAAAATAAAATAATACAGGACAATGCATGACTACAAAAAAAAACAGTAAGATGCTGAAATTCAGTGCTCCAAGAAAGCAATCATCTTTATGAAATATTAACTATGTCTATTAAGATTGGATTTTTAAGTCCAGAACATATATATCCAAAGTAAATGTGCTTCATGAGCAGCCACCATAGGTAACTACAAGTATCTGCATTCTAAAAAACTGCTTTCCTTTCAGAAATAGTTTACAAGACACTCTAGAAATTCAGTTTCATTACGATTATCTTCATAAAAATCTCTACTTTAAAGTATCACTATCTGAGGCTGGGCATAGTGGCTCCCATCTATAATCCCAGCACTTTGGGAGGCTGAGATAGGAGGATCACTTGAGCTCAGGAGTTCAAGACTAGCTTGGGAAATGACGTGAGACCCAATTTCTACAAAAAATTAAAAAATCAGCTGGGTGTGGTGGTATATGCTTGTGGTCCCAACAACACAGGAGGCTGAGATGCTGATTACTTGAGACCAGGAGGTTGAGGCTGCAGTGAGCAAAGACTGCATCACTGCACTCCAGCCTGGGTGGCAGAGACCCTGTCTCAAAAAAAAATACAAAAAAACAAACAAAAAAAACCCTCAAAAAACATAAAAAGACATAAAGTAGGAATATCTGGCTTAACAACTAGGTTAGGCTCAGAATGACTTTTGGTGGTTTCCTAAAAGCAAATCCATCCCCTACAGATGACAATAATCATCACTGAGGATGTTTAAAAGAACAAGACACAGACTCTGACGTCAATCTTCAAAATGAGAGCATCTTTGGAACAAGAGGTGGTCACTGTTTTGCTGTGAACAAGATCACTTGCATACATTAGAGTAAGCATCATAAACATAAGACTGCAGCCTGGCTGAATACAATAACTGGAAGTAGTTTCAGAATATCAAAAGAAAGCCTACTTATCCAAACATAGGGGTCTACTGTTGAAAGGAATTTTGAGGGATCCTCTAGTTGTTGCATTCAACTTGACTGTAACAGCACATTTATGATGGTTACTTTACTTTAACGTATGCATTATGTTTAATCTTTCAAGACCATACAATATATATTAAATTATTTTATTCTCCTATTCTTTTTTTTTTTTTTTTTTTAGATGGAGTCTCACTATGTCACCCAGGCTGGAGTACAGTGGCGTGATCTTGGCTCAAAGCAACCTCCACCTTCCAGGTTCGAGCAATTCTCCTATCTCAGCTTCCCAAGTAGCTGGGATTACAGGTGCCTGCCACTACACCCAGCTAATTTTTGTAGTTTTAGTAGAGACAGTGTTCTGCCATGTTGGCCAAGCTGGTTTTGAACTCCTGACCTCAGGTGATCCGCCTGTGTTGGCCTCTCAAAGTGCTGGGATTACAAGCATAAGCCACCACTCCTGGCCTCTCACATTAATTCTACACAGTACTATTAATATAATTGACATTCATTCTACATTTGACAGATAAAATGAAAAAGTAAAATCACGTAGAGTTACATAGATATTTTATGGTGGGGTCAGACCCAGTATCCAAGGCCCCTGACTTTCAGCTATGTCCTTATTCTACTAATCCAAAATAAATATGAACACTGAAACCCAAATCACCTACTTTCAATAACAATAAGGAAGGCAGACTAGTCAGGAACAAGACTTACTGCGAGCTGCAGAGCCAATTCAAATTGCTTGTCCTGGAGAAGCTGTTGGATTTGGGTTGCCATGGGGACAGGGATGAGTCTCCAAACAAAATGATTGCTGGCCACATAGATAATGTTTGATCTGGAGGTAAGAGTAAAAATATTAGCAAAAGATCATAGGCTTTGTGATGACACAGCTGACTTTACAACTTTGGGAAAATATGCAGCCATGGTAAAGAAAAAAATTCCTTACCCTCCTGAGGTAATGAAACGAGGCCTTTGCAATTCAATGCTTTGGACCAGAAGCCTTGGTTCAAATGTTCGGATCTCCACATATCGAGGCAACACTGCGATGATGTAGGGAGGCTGGTGCTCTGTGAAGGAGAACATATAAGGCAGTTGTTCTGGTCTACGGCTTTGGGTTTATGGAGTGTTTCAGCTGCTTATTCTAAGATGTATTTAAATGGATCAACAAAAAGTCCACTAGTCAAATATCAAGCCGGGATCTTACACATTGATTCAGAAAGGAAAAAAACTGGTCTGTAATCCCAGCAACCTGGGAGGTTGAGGTGGGAAGATTGTGTAAACGTGAAGTTTGAGACCAGCCTAGGCAACTTTGTGAGACATTGCCTCAACAAAAACATTTTTTAAAAAATTAGGTGTGGTGGCACACACCTGTAGTCCCAGCTGCTCAGAGGCTGAGGTGGGAAGATCCTTTGAGCCCAGGAGTTTGAGGCTGCAATGAGCCACAACTGCACCACTGCACTCCAGCATGGGTGAGAGTGAGATCCTGATTCTAAAAAAAGAAAAAAAATGTTTTGCTCGAGTTACGATAAGAGAATCCCTTGCACAAAAGAGATGCATCAGCTTTGCTGACAGTCGCCTTATCCCACTCCTGTCTTACTGACCAAATAACTGGATAAAAGTTTCACTTGCTCTTTTTTCATCAGTCACAAAGCCACGCCAGAAAATGCCAGTTGCAGCTGCCCCTGCGGTGCATCAGTGGGAGAAACAGGTAACAGAACCTCTTCTTTCATTCTCTTAGAAAGGGCGCGGGGAAAAAGGTAAATTCTACTTTCTCTAAAATTACTCTAAGGGAAGAGTTCCACATTTCTAGCCAATGTTGTTTCTGCTAGAAATTTTCACGGAGAAAAGGTGTGATGCCCTACCTGATGGCTGCTATGGTTTGATCGTTTTTATCCCCTCTCAAACTCATACGTTGGATACTTAATCATCCCCAGTGCAAAAGTGTTGGAAAGTGGGGCCTAATGGGAGGTGTTTAGGTCATGAGGCTCCACCCTCATCAATGGATTAATGCACTATAAAAAGGGCTTATGGGAGTGGGTTCTCTCTCTTCTATCATGTGAGAACAAAGAGCTTATCTTTCTCTTACCCTTCTCCTTCCACCATGTGAAGGAACATCAAGAAGGCCCTTACAAGACACCAGATGCTGGCACCCTGATCTGGGACTCCCAAGCCTCCAAAACTGTAGGGAAACAAATTCTGCTTTTATAAATTACCTAGTCTGTGGTATTCTGTTATAGCTGCACAAATGAACTAAAACAACGGCTTAATGGTAGAAGGTAGATGGATGGACTTCTCAGTGCAGGCATTTTCTATTTGATACTTGCTGTCAAGTCTTAAAATTGTTTTCCTCTATTATACACATCTAAAAAAAGCCTTTCATTCATCTATCCACGACCCCAAATTTACCCTTGCTGATCCAGTACAAATTATGGGTTATACTCCTTTTCTTCATTCTTTCTCTCTCTTTTGGAAATAGCTTTTAATATATCCACTGTATTTTTCTGTACTTATTGATGTGACAATCCAAAGCTTAAAATGCTGGATGAAGCAGAACAATTCCACACAGTGCTAAAGAAGTCAGTATGTAAAAAGCAGAGCTGACAAAACCATAAAATCATTGCAAATCAAGTCTTCTGACATTTGAGAAGTGTATGGTGAAGGAGATTTAACATAAACGGAAGGAATTTAGAAAATAAGCAACATAAAACACATCTTTAAAAACACAAAATCTCAGAACAAGACTGAATAAGGATCTGCCTTACCTTACAATGAGCTGTAAAATAAATTGTTTGTATACTACATTAAACATAATTTCACTAACTCAGAGACAACAGAAATATTTTCTATGACTATATTCCATAGTATATCAAGAATTAGTAAAAAACCACAGTGAGATATCACCTTATACACCTTTAGGATGTCTACTATTTAAAAAAAGAAAGAAATAAAGAAAAGAACATGTGTTGATGAGAATATGGAAAAACTGGAGCCCATGTGCACTGTTGGTGGGACTATAAAATGGTGCAGCCGCTATGAAACCAGCATGGTGGTTCCCCAGAAAATTAAAAATAGAATCACCACATGGTCCAGGAATCCCATTTCTGGGTATACATTCAAAACAATTGAAAATCAGGACTTCAAGGAGATATTTGCACATGCATGTTCATAAGCAGCATTACACACAGTAGCCAAAAGGTGAAAGCAACCCAAGCACCCACAGACAGATGAATGGATAAACCAAATGTGGTGTATTAATACAGTGGAATATTATTCAGCCTTAAAAAGGAAGGTATGAACCTTGAGGACATTATGCTAAAGTAAATAAGGCAGTCACAGAAAGACAAATACGGTGTGATTCCCCTTATATGAGGTTATCTAGAAGTCAAATTCACAGAAGCAGAAAGTAGAATGGTGGCTTCAGGGGCTGGAGGGAGAACTGAAGAGTTATAAATGGGTATAGAGTTTCCATTTTGCAACATAAAAAGCTTCTGAAGGTCTATTGTACAACAATGTTAACATACTTAATACCACTTTATACTTAAAAATCGTTCAGGTGGTAAATTGTATGTTATGTATTTTTTACTACATTTAAAAATAAAAATGTTTTTAAAAGTAAAAACGCTAGTAAAAAGCAAACCACTAGATGCATAATTACCACACAGAAATTTAACTTCAAAGAACATATTCATAAAAATAATTTACTAATGTGGCTAATCTGCTATGAATTTATATTCCTAATAATCCTTTTTTTTTTTTTTTTTTGTGAGACAGGGTATCTCTATATAGGCCAGGCTGGAATGCAGTGAGTGGTATGATCACGGCTTACTGCTGCCTCCATCTCTCCCAGACTCAAGTAATCGTTCCACATCACTCACCCAGGTACTTGGGACTATACGCATGCAACACAGTGCCCAGCTAATTTCTTAAATTTATTTTTTGTAGAGATAGGGTCTCACTATGTTGCCCAGGCTGGTCTCAAACTCCTCAGCTTAAGCAATCCTCCTGCCTCAGCCTCCCAATGTGCTGGGATTACAGGTATGAGCCACTATGCTGGTTTAATTGTCCATTTTCTGATAAAAAGTTTTTCCTATTATAGTTGCAATTTATACTATCAATGAATAGGACGATAAAATTTCAAAGCTAAGAGGGAACTCAGAAATGAGTAACCTAAGAACTAAATCACATTTATATCATTTTGAATGCTACTGCTATTATGCTGATATTTTTCATCTTAAAAAAAATTAAAAGCATATTGTTTTATATTGAATTTTTTCTTTTCTTTTTATGCTTGCCTCATTTTAAAAAGTTAGTACAATTTTCTTTTATGCAAACTTGTATAAAATATGTAAAATTTCTTTTTCCTTTTAAAATCTGGCCAACTCGAATATGTTCTCATTTAACTAAAAAGGTAATCTATAACAGAAACCTCTTAGGTTGTCATATCTTATGTTGACAATAGAGATGGTCTGGATCTCGTTGTGTCTCTAAAACTGGGAGACTGGTTGGTGTACAGCAGGCATATAAATAATGACTGACAAAGATAATGATGCAATTGTTCTGCAAGCATTTCCTAAGATGCTCTGATGTTTCAGGCACTCTACTATGTAGTAAGGACTCAAAGTGGATCAAGACATGTATCCAGGCCTCACAAAACTCCTACAGGAACAGACCAGTCACGTGTGACAAGCTGCCATGACGGAGATGCCTGAAAGGGTTATGGAAGCACCGAGGAGAAGTCACTAATCCTGCCTGCAGGTCAGAGGAGACCTCATAGGGCAAGTGCCTGAAAATGGACTTCAGCAGTAAGGCACAAACATAGTTTTGAAAATCACTGATAAAGGCCCCAGCCACTACCAAAGGTGGGAAAACAGGAACTCTCATATTGGGAAATCAGAAACACACTTGACTATTCATCCACCAAGGTTCCTCTTCTGAAGGGAAAACAAGGTCCCCTAGAATATCAGGAAGCCTCGTGTAAAGCCCTGTAAGTCCCTCAAACTTGTTACTATCCATAATCCTGGGCCTTCTAAAACACTGACCTTTTGATTTCTCTTCCTTCTGGTCTACTCATCTCTAACCACCACCAGAATAATCACCCTAGAATATGATGCTTTTATCAAGACATTCTACCATTTAGGAATCCACTGGCCTCCCAGACCAGAACACGGACATCTAACAAGCAGCCCTATTTCACTGCTCTAATTCAGACCACGTGTGATATGTCAGACTCTGTAACGTCCTCTCCCAAATCACCATGTATTTCTTTGGACTTCTACTCATTTATCAAACTGCTTTCTGCCTAGACTGAATGGGAATTTTTCTTCAAGCCAGATTCCAAACTCCCTGCCTGACCTAGCTCAATTTTATCTATGTAATGAAACTTCTTCTGATTAATTAAACAACAAACTTCCCTTTCTCTGAACTACTGAATTTTAACTCATCCAATTTCATACCATAAGCAGTGCCTTGTTCTGTCTCTTTATGCAAGACTGTAACCCTTGTCTCCAGAGATAGGGGTCTTTAAAGACAGAAAGCATGTCAGTATGTCCCACTTCACAGCAGCAGCTATTTTAGTAATGCTCACTCTTCTGACCGAAAATAAAATGCTGCAAGGGTGGTTATATTCTTCCAGGCAATTCCACTGTGGAAAGCTGGGAACCTCAGGCAAGCATAGGAACACAAGCACCTAATGTGTAGAATAGAGACTGACACCCAAATGTTGTCTGTGCCTCTAAGCTACAAAAAAATAGCAACAATTAAAAAACCCTTCAACATGGAATTACTACTACATCAAAAACTCTTCAATATGGAGTCACTCATACTACAGGAATACACAAGGAATTTCCACTAATTTCCAAATGTAATCTATTTGGCAGAGGACACAATTAAAACTCTTAAAAAGGAGGAAGAAAAAAACTAAGAAGTGAAAAATAGCAGGAGATAATCACTTCCTAAAATAAACATTTCTGTTTATATGTTTTCCCCCTCTAAAGTAAAATTCAGCTTCCTGCAATAACTAGACTCTTTTTTCAAGCGATTCTCCTGCCTCAGCCTCCTGAGTAGCTGGAATTACAGGCATGCACCACCATGACTGGCTAATTTTGTATTTTCAGTTAGTAGAAACAGAGTTTCTCCATGTTGGTTAGGCTGGTCTCAAACACTCGACCTCAGGTGATCTGCCGACCTCAGCCTCCTAAAGTGCTGGGATTACAGACATGAGCCAAGTGCCTAGCTGACTATCCCATTTTTAATGACCCTAAAATGTCATCTACTAATAAGAAGGGGAACTGAAAGTGAATGGCACAATGTAAATGAGTCTGCTAAAGCTATGAACAGGACTCCGTTCTGCAGGAATGGCACACAACCCCAGCCCAAAGTGGGAAAACAGCTACTGTTGGTCTCACCCATGGCCACTGGTATGTCCGTCCAGTTCAGGGCACATTTCTGTGTGCAGATCCCTTCCTCATTGAGTACCACGGTGAGATCATCTTGGCCCACAGCCACTTTTCCATCAGCCAGAGGTGCAACTAAGGGCTCCAGCTGTTTTCCTGTTGGAAAGAGCTCTTTGATGGACCCCTTTCCATCCACCTATAGGAAGACACAGAGTGAGTCACCTAGCATTTCCCAGCTAGAGGCACAAACACAGGCTGGAAAAATCCAGATAGAACCCAAAACCTAGAGAAGCCAATAATATTCCTTGTTTGACATAAGAAAATGTTACAGAGTTCATTATAATAAGCTTTGTTATTGCAGTGTAAAACCAGTTCACATGTTCTCTAATGCATAGTAAAGCATCTAGCCTGGCAACTGACAATGCCAGGTGCTGGCAAAAATGCAGAGCAACTAGAACTCGCAGTCACTGCTGGTGGGAATGCAAAATGTTGCAGCCATTTTGTTTGTTGGTTTCTTATAAATTTAAAGATACACTTACCATATGCCCCAGCAATCTCATTCCCAAGCATCTGCCTGGGAATGAAAATGTATATTTACACAAACACTTGTATGCAAATGTCTATAGAAGCTTTATTCAAATTTGCTAAAAACTGAAAACAACTTTATCCTTCAACTGATGAATGGATAAACAAACATCCATACCATAGACTACTACTGAGCCACAAAAAAGAATAAACTGTTAACACACATACAATGACATGGATGAATCTCCAATGCATTCTGCTAAGTGAAAGAAGCCAGAATATAAAGTGGCTTGTTCTGAAATAACAAAAAGATAAATAAAATAAATAAAAAGAAAAAAAGATAAAAAAAATAAATAAAAAGAAAGTTAAAAA